ATTAACAAACTTGTTCTTCTTCCCCTACAAATTTACCCACCCTTGCAAAGTACTTCACCTTCACAATAAGCTGTACCTTCCCTTTCCTCTGGCTCTTTGAAGATTCTGCTCTTTGTTCAGTGAAGTTCCCCAGTTCCAGGAACATATAAGGCATTACCTAAATCATCCAGTGTTTATTTTAGTCTGACGGTGTTAATGAGGCTTAGCTATGTTAAAGCATTTAAAATCTTTGTAGTATCTTAAACATATTGTATCTTAAAGTATCCCCTTCAGGTATGTAAGTATTATCCAAATCATATAAATGGAGAACTAAAAACAAATGTTTAGGGATTTGCCTGAGGCTGTGCAATAAGTCAGTGTCAGAGCCAAGAGTCAAACCCACCTATTTGTGGTGAGTCAGCCCACACTGGCATGGTTTGGTGTGTTCCTACCATGGAAATCAGCCTATTCATTGTGCACAGTACTCATTTCAATCATTTCATAAACTGGCTCTCTAGTAGTTGCCTTCCCTTTAATAACAACTTTCCCAGAAATGCTTTTGCTTGCCTCACTCCATATACTTCCTACACATCGACATGGGGAGCAGCATGTGGTATCCACAGCTTGCATAGTTACTGGGGTTTCTTATGTTTAGGGGTTTTCTTTCTTAAGGCCAGAAATTAGGTAGAGAGAGGGGACTGTATTCCTAAAGAGTTATGAAAATTTCCTGTCTGCCCTTGAAATTAAGAAGTGTCTGTGCAACCATTTACCTTGTGGGGTTTATAGTAGTTCACACACCATAATTTTCCTTTCTCTACTTTTTAAGAATTCATCAAGGCTCTTTGGGGGAAAGAAGTGTGCATGTGAAAGGCAGAAAAACATACAGGGTGCAAATATGTTTGAGAACATTTATGCTGGGAGTCAGTAATCCAAAAAGTGATGAAATAGTAAAGTGACAAGACCTGGCCTGAACATCTGAAACTTTGATGATGTTTGGCAGAGAAAATGAGACCAATTAAAGGGTGCCTTTGGGAAGCTTTACCTTGCATGACCAGAACTTCTACACATCTCCAGTGCACTTGGTGCTTTCACAGTGCTAATGCTCATGTGAATATGAATGGGTTTGCCAGTTTAGTCATCTACAGGAGTTTAGTCTGCTCTTGGTTCAGATGTGTTTCTGTAACGCCTTTTGTTTCTGGAGAAGACCTTGAGGTAATTAGCAGTTCAGCCTGACCCTCTGCTGTTGCCTCAGTTCCCCTTTCACAGTATTTTCAGGTATTAGTGGAGTGAAGGATTCTCTCTTCTTCACTTGCTTTCTCAAACTTCCCCATTTAAAACTGAACTGCCTGGGGGTCACTGATTAGCGTTTAATAACTACACAAGCAGCTTTCTCTCCATCATTATGCTAGATTTTTATACTTCAGTATATTTGAGCTTAAGTATTTTCCTTGACTGACAGCCTGAGGATTATAGCATATCACTCACAAAAAGGATAAAATTTATATATCTTTTAAACTCCAGAGACAAAGGCACAGAAAAACATTACTGGATAGTACTGAGATATTCTACCTCTTCCTAAAATACCATGGAAATACAATCAGTAGCATAAAAGGACCTAGAGGGAGCAGAAATGTAGCTAAATAATAAATTAATCTACTTGAAAAAAAAAAACAAAGCCAAAACAAACCAAAACTGAAAACAATATACTCTGGGAGACAAAACAGTTTCTGGGTGGGAAAGAAAGAAATACAGATACCTCTTCAGACAGCCTCTCTTTACTGTGAGCTGTAATCCATAGTGGGGAGCAGAGCTTATTCAAGAGGCTCAGGGAGACAGCAAAGCAACAGTGCCTCTGCATGTGATTTTAGAAACAGTCAAGCCAGGCCTTTTTCCCGTACATCTCATCACCTAAATCATTCAGGCATGAGCCCCTGGTAAAATCAGAGCTATTGGTACATGATACTGGAGTGATTGACCTCATAACTAATACCTTAAGGAGAAGAGCATGTGGAAGGGTTTTGAGACTAAAAACTTCAGGCTGAAAACACGCTTAGTCTCTGTTTCTGGCTGAGGAGAAGTGTGTGCTAGCAGTCAGCTGTTTTTCCACATGACTTTTGGGTTTAGGTGATCATGTGAGTGCCTGACAGGCAGAGTCAATGTATTTTCAATTTAGTACTTTTCTATTGCAAAACAGTGTTTTGTAAAAATGGAAATCCTGATAAAAAGATCTATTTCTATTCCACTTTCCATTCTTTTAATACTCACAACAACAATTGACAGAGGAGAAAACTTACAAGAAGTGATTAGAAGGATGAAGAAAGTTATCAGTTAGGAGAACCTGAAAAATTTCCAACAGTATTTTCCAAAATAGAAGTAATTTGAGAATACTTGGTAAGAATCTACACGTATCTGAAAACTTGAATTCCCAAAGGTTTAAAAAATAATACAGTTTAGTGTAAAGGTGACAAAAAAATAATAAATTAGAGAAGCTCTTAGAAGTCTAAAGTTCCTGAAACTAAAGCCAAAGTGTGCTTTAACAGTGAGATTGTTTCAAACATGAAATAATTTCTAAAAGAATTGGAGAAATTACACAGATAGCAGCACTTGTAATAAAGGGAGTACAGTGCCAGATTGAAGTATATTAAAGATGGTGAAAGTACTATTCCTCATCTTTACACATTGACCTTGTTTCTGTGTTCAGAAACCATATAGAGAGTTGTTGAGTTGGTCAATAAACTAATCCAGCCATCAATAAAGCACACCTTCTTGTTTATTAATATGTGATTAAAAATGTATATGATAAAAAGATATTGACTGAGCAGAGTTTGGGTGACAAGAACAATTATAGCTTCAAGTCTAATCAGTACATGAGCTGTTTAACCCAGTGAAAGTCAATAGTCTATTTCTGAACAATTACACATTTTGTTTCAAATAAACTATTTGGATTTTGCTAGTGGTCTCGTTTTCTCTTCATGATTTAGACATGAACACAGAAGCAGAGAGAAAGAGCCACAAAATAAATCATCCAATATAATTCCACTTTATGGTCCTTGTATGATAAATTGGTAAATACACAGCAAATAGGATTTGTTTTAATTAAAACTTGCTAGCCACAAATAAATTAAATCTGGAATAAGTATGTTTCTTTTTCAGTTTTATTACTAGTTGCACTGGTCTTAATCATATTTCTACAGTGTCCTAATTTATTTATTCTTAAATATTTCTGTTGTTATTTCAAGTTAAAGTCATAATTTTGCCGCATCCAAAGGGTTCCATCTTGATTTCATTAAAGCAGTTTCTTAAACCTAATAAGAAATTATAATCAAAAGCCATTTGATTTCTCCTTGAGTGATCTTTAGCTTTTAAAAACTTTCTTCACAGCTCCATCACTCCAGAGAAGGATGAGAGAATATTCCATAAAGCAGGATGTCTGATGAAAAGTCAGTTGCAACACAGAAAAGTTTGAGCTGGGTGCATCTTTAAACACCAATATATTCCAGCCTAGTGGTCATTCAGCACAAACTGGTTGCTGGTGAATGGGTCATACATTCCTGAGCAAGAACACAGGGTCACTGGCTTGTCCCCAAAATGTTAACAATTAACCATGAGCCCAAAGCAAGCAGCATCAGATGACTGGGGCTATCCACAAGCAGAACTTTTAGCGTTTTCAGCACTGGGTTGTTGTGCCAGCGTTCAAGATCCAGTTAAATCAATGGTACTCCCCAAAGTGTCTGCAAGTTGTAAGTCTTTTAAGTGCCAGATCAGAAAGCTCCTTATCTATTCCGTAAGTATCATGTTCATCAACCAGTTATAGTGACTGGCACTTCCACAGATATTTTTCTAACCTGCTAATCATGTCATCTTCTTAATTCCTTTACAGGAATAAAATGATAAAGACTTCAGAAACACCATCTTTTGCATTAAAGTTAACAAAAATCCCTAATTTCTTCTTCTCAAATGTGTTTGGTTTAGGTGAATGTAAAATTCACCTTGTTCTTGATTGGTGCTGTAGGAAGTTATTGTTTCATAGGGAAGAACAAATGAACAGAAAGAGAAACATGCCATTGTGCTCACATAGCCTTGAATATTTTGGCTTCTTAGAAATTGGTCTTGACACTATAAACACTCTTTTCTGAGTACCTTCATATTAATATATCACTTCTGTTCCAACTGTAAGTAAAAGCCAATTGTATTTTCTCCTGACTGAACAAATAGTCACTGACTCTTAAAACCAGAGTAAGTCCTCCAGGAGGTCAGTTCCACTTCATTGTGGTGCAGTTCCAACACTTTTCCTGGACATATCTGATTCTGGTTTGTGAGGAGGTGGCAGACTGGTGTAGGCAGACCATTGGTGCAATCCCAGCATGGCACCTGCTGGTCAAAAAGTAAAGCTTTTGTGTTCTCACATCTTGTGAAAGAACACTCACAGAGTCAGGTTTGGTCTGGTTTGGATGGTGGTGACTGAAGCTTGGGAGAAGCCAAAGAATGCTTTTCCATATAAATGAGGGATTTCTATTTTTAAAAAATTCCTCTTTAAAGAGATGGTACAAGTCTGTGCCTCAGGAGTAGGTGTGAGGGTGCAGCAGCTGTGTGTAAAGGGATTGCCCCAAAAGACAAGTCAGGTCACCTGAGATAAGAATCTTGCCCCAAGTTGCCTTCAGGAGAAGACAACTATGTAGCTGCACAGTGGAGTTTAGGGAAGTCAGCCCCAGCAGCCTGGTCACTGTGGAGCTTACAGGTCATAACTTCTCTGCTAGATGAGACAAGTACAAAAGGAAAGGTCTGAATCTCTTTTATCTAGGGCACTGATATGTCTGAGCAATTCCTAATACATTCTTATCTGAAGAAAGAGTTGGGTTTGATATCCATCTGTTTCAAGATAAATGAGAGTTTCTCCATCAAGGCTGTGGAGGATATAAATATGCACAGAAGAAAACTTCCTCCTGAAGAGAGGATCCAGTGCACTTTGAGATTAATAGGTGTGACTCTCCCACCAGAATAACATATTGCCAAGCAGTAAAAAAAGTACTCCAGGAGGCAAATTTATTGGGCTAAAAATCTATTTTTCTGAGTTTAAATTTACCCATCTGCTTATCTTCAAACAGAGTCTGAATACATCATTGCTGATTATAGGCTCTGTTCCAGTCCATTACTTGATTCAGTCACATGCTTAAAAATACTAGTTCAATTAAGATTGTTGGTACATTTATGACTCTAAATATGTGTACTGCTGTTCTTTATTCTTCCATGGAATAAAACAGGAGTTTAATCCATTCTAGATTTTGTTTATTTGTAATGCTCTTCCTCAGCTTTTCAAATGAATACTCCAGCATTAACTGTTCGATCCTCAGTATTAAGGAAAAGCGAGTCTGAAAAGCAAATACCCAACATGTGTTGATTTATTAGGAAGGTGAATTAAATAAGTGTATAGTTACTAAAAGAAAATATATATTTTTCAGGTGCAGAGAACTTATGAAATCATTAAAAAGGATAGTGTTGAGAATTTGTATGATGGCTAAGAATTACTTTCTGGCTTTATTCATCTCAGCATCCTTACTTATTCACTTGCAGTGAATGCATGCAATGTCTGCTTTTACATGAGTTTCCCTCAAATAATGAGAGTTCAAATGTACAGAATTTTCGCTTCTGTTGTTGTCAATACATTTTATAATGGATATTTAGTTTAAAAGCCATTCCATTTTTTAAGGGAAAGCTAATCTGAAAACTTATTAAGAGTCACAAATTAAAGCTGCTTCTTCTCAAGCATTTACCACCTTTCTGACTTATCTGCTAAGTGTCACAGCTAAGCCTGCATATTCTCCTCATCCTCAGAAAGGTGGAGTAACCCTGGAGGGAAAAAAAAGGAAAAAAACACCCCACAAAAGTAGTTTAAACGCTGTAGGTCTTCTCAACAAGTTGAACTCAGTAAGAGACCAGTGCTCATCTGCCTTTAGGAAGGCTGGCTCTCTTTACCTCTTTGTAAACCTTCTCCAGGAGTGAGGCCACACAGCAGGTCCAGAATATCTTCCTCTTCCTAAATTTACTTACCCAGACAACTCTGCCTTTCTTTTCCTGTGTACTGGGGATATGGGTGAGTGGGTGTGGAGCTTTTGAACACATGACAAGGATGAACCAGACACTGCTAGTGGAAAACCCACCCTCCTACCCAGAAAATCAGAATAAACTTTCATTTTACTCATCTGCCTAAACTCACACTGGGAGTGTCCAAGTCGCTTATCATCGGTGTATTTATGAACAAACCTCTTCCCTTGGAACATGTGTCTATGAAATATTGCAGTGCTATTGCAATGAGTGCTAAATTTATACTCAAATGATTTATTGTGACCACCCCTACTGTTGTTTGGGGGCCTTTCGCATCACATACAGATACAGTCAGATTACTGTACATCAAAGTAGGAACATACTTTTCTATAATGATCTACTCATTCATGATGAGTTATAGCCACCTCAGGGGTGGGATAATACAGGATTATCATCACAAGCAATAGTAAAGCTTTATTGACATGAATACCAGATCTTTGACTTGGTCAGATACACTGAGAAAAGCTTTTTTTTTCCTATTCTCTTCTATTCTTACTGGCCACAGTAAGAGGAATCTTGCTCTGCAAGGAGGCTGATAGTGTATAGGAGATACATACAGCAGGAAAGATACATTTTTCCATCAACATGACTTTTGTACATCTTGAAATTGTTTGTTTTGTCATTATCAATAATAGGAGAGATGTGGATGTCACTCCTACATTTTTTCCTCCGATACAGAAAACATTTGCTGTTACCTGGGTCAAATGTGATTCCTAAAAAGCCAGATGGTCACCCTTCCATTGCTTAACTACGATCATATTAGTTTTTCTGCTTCTATTGGTTTAAAAGTGATGGACTTGGAAGCATACATTTGTCTTGTTGGGAAGTCCAAGCACAGTACCCTATGTGAGCAGGAACAAGGCAGAGGCTCTTTTCTCAAGCAGGTGAGTTTTGCTATGCTTGCTTTTGAAATAAGCTCTCTCTTTTACACACGGGGTACTTCATGTATTTGAGGTCTCTAGAAGAAATTAAGCAATTTAGCCTCTAACACTTCAGTCAAGCCTGTGGTTTGTTAGAGAGGAAAAGAGGTAGGCTGGTGGTGGTAAAGGCAGTGCTGTAGAGGTCTTCAGCTCAGAGGAAATGACGCTTTATTTGTTACAAGTTACCACTCAAAATAATGGTGCCTTCTGATTGCATCTGGACTCCTGACACTATCTTTGTACTCTGCTCTCATGTAGCCTCTGTGCTACTAAAAACAGGATGAGTTTTCTCTTTTTTACATCTGCATTTATTTATCCTACTTGTTGAAGTTACTGAAAGTACAATTTTACAGTGCCACCATGGTTGCTGCTGGTAAAAATACCTGATGCTGAACTGCAGGTTTATTCTGAATGAGAATCTGCTGCGAAACAAAGAGTAGCAAATTATTGTCTCACTTACTGTCTTGGATCAGTGAATGAAGTTTAATCTAAGGCAAAGCAGACAGTTCATTTGGCTGTTTCACTAAGTGCAGCAACTGCTTGACTCCAGGCCAAGGCTCCTCCAGCTGAGGTCAGAACCATGCGCCTGGTGAGGGCACTTCCATCTCTGACTGAAAGAACAGATTCTGGAGCTCTTCTGTGTTCTAACATAGAAAACAGAAATTCAGAAGTTTAGGGGTAGGTTTTTTCCCTGTTGTTTGTTTCAGTCCAGCCAGATGTATGGCAATCTATAGGATTGTTAGTGTCTAATCCATCCCCCTGAAATACTTTGAAGATTTTAGTCCAGTTCCAAATGGAAGTGCTACCCACTAAAATATGAGTTAAATAGGTGCTTATTGAGAAATAAAAAAGTTTGAAAGGACTTGGACTCTACATTTGATTTCCCTTTTGCTATTATGCTTAACTTTGTTAGGACACACAAAAATTAGAAGAGCTCTATAAACATTTAAAGCCAGTAAGAAGTGAGAAAACGAAAGCTAATCACATTGCTCAGGACCAATCCCTTGAGCAGGTACTTTATCATTACACCATCATGCACTAGGAGATGACAAGGAATTTTCCAGAAAAAAAGAATTTTCCTCAAAATTCAGACTATGTAAGACAAAATATGCCAAGAAACAAAGGAAAAGAGACTGTAGAGTAAGCAAAAGCGAAGCCACTAAGGCATATACCTGATGTGTCCACAAGTACAAGTGCTTTCACTGGTACAGACATGCAGTTTTAGTCTATTCTGGGTCAGCACCTTATTTCCATGATCTCTGGTACCCTGGGCTTGTTCTCTCTTTTTTCCTCCCTCTCCTTCCTCCTTTTCACAAATAACTTTACAAAACCTTTGTTTCATCTGCTCTTATGCAATGAAATATGAACACAATTTGACAGGGCAGTGGGGCTTTTATGCTTATCTTCCTCACAATCACCCTTTTGGCTTGCAGAGTTGGGCTTAGGCAGAGCTTTCTTCAGGAGTTATTTCCAGTGTTAAATTTACCTACATGGGGCCATATCTGGGGTAGATAAATACTACTCTTTTTATTTTCCTGTTCCTCTACCACCACCCTATAGCATCTGGGTGCTTTTTTTTTACAGCCTGAAGCTGAAGGGATTATATCATCCTATCCTTTCTATAAATCTCTGTTCCAAACAAATGAGATTAAAGTACAAAATGCCTGCAAATTTGGGGTATCCAATTAGAGATATTATGTGCTTGATTTTTCAACCTGTTTGGCATTCTGCATCGCTTGGCCTAGTCCATGCAAAGTGAGTGATTCACTTCAGCCCACCAGACTCTCACATTTCAAGATGGGCCCTCATCTCAACTAAGTATTGCCTCATGGGGCAACTTTCCTGACACTGTAGAATCTTTGAGGTGGAAGGGGAATGGAAGCAAACTCAGCAGGTGAAATTCAGCAACCGCTTTGCCACGGAGTCCTTCTTTCCCTCCTTGTAATTCACTACCTTGTACATGAGCTGTTCCCAGCTCTGTGACAAATTAGACAGGATTCTAGTGAATAAAATCTACAAAGTACTGATCTGTTCCCAGAGGAAGGGTACCTTGCAGGGTTTCATTTCTGCTTCAGGAAATTTGTGGAATATAATCTCTGTGGTCACGTATCCTAATGTATGGAAGCATGAATTGAGGTGTTCTGAACCCCTCAGGTCAGTCATTTCCTTAACGTCCACGATGTGGCGGCTAGTGTTGAATACAAAACACATTTCCTTAGTTCAGTGGTCACACACACACACAAATTAAAATATGTTTTGAATCATCTCAGAAACACTTCTCTTGAAGGTCAGTTCTTTTTCAGCATTAGAAAGCAGACTCTATTCCAAATAAAAAGCATTAATTATGTAGCTAAACTGCATCGGCTAAAAATAGTGGAAAAAAACTCCACATCTTGACTTTCAGAATTTCTACCATGTTTCAAATGAAATTCAGCCCATCTACTCTGGACATCCTGCAATTAAGCATCCTTGCTCTTGGCTGACAGCATTAGTTGGTTTTTCCAGCCTTGCCCTCCTATCTGCCCTACAGGTTCCTCAATAGAACAGCTTCTCTCTGCTCTCTCTGCACAACCTCTGTGTCCCCTTACCTAATCAGTCCCAGGCTCCTGCCTCCAAACACCAGTCCCAGCTTTTCTCTCTGCCTGGCTTGGCTGCTTCTACTGCCTGCTCTGTCACAGGCTGAATGGCTTTTTCCTCTGTGTTGTATTCATGCAGAGCACCTTTCTTCTTCACACAACCTTCAAATCACCTGGAGCTTAGGAGAGGTAGGATTCCTACCTCTCAGATTCTGCACCAAAATTCAGGCTCATGGGGCAAACTTGGAGGTGGGGATTAAAGTGGAAATCTAGCCTCAACACTGTATACTCGAGCTTCTGTTTGCAGAGAGGGCCAACCTTTAGCAATGCCTTTTTCCTGCTAGAATAAAAGAAATCATTGCTGGCCATCTGCTCATGACACAGTTTCTAATATTTGTAAGTTAGACACATTTAGATAAATTTTCAGACAGAAAGGAAAAAGCACATTTTAAATAAAAAAGGTCACATTTTGAGGCTGTGCTTCAAAGCCTGAGGGCAGCAGAGCATTTCAAAGGAAAAAAGTTTCCATTTTAGTATGAGCAAAACTGTTTATTTTTCCATAACCTTGTTCTTGGAAATGGACAAATTGTTTTGGCAGGTATTTTCAAAATAATCTGCCCAGTACAGACAGCCAGCATATCAGTTTTCAGCCTAAGTGATGATGTTTTTTCTAAAGCTACATGCAGCAGAAAATGTGGTCTCTGCTGAGAAATGTTTGCCAACCCCAATACAGGGAATGGCAGCACATCTACCTTAAAATATACATTATCACAGATTATGTCCTCTGAGGATTTCTGGTTCTTTTTCAAACACCAATTGCCTCATGGAAAGGCAATAGGGTCAGTGACTCTTCCCTATTTTAGGGGCAGAGTAACTAAAATAAGAGGAAAGGAAAAGAAAAACCAGGGATAGAATAAAAAAAAATCCTGATCAACTCCTTATTCCCCTGTTTATGCACCCCTTGGTGCCACCTCTGAGGGGCATCATTTGTGCAAAGGTCCTCTGGTCTGGAGTATTGCAGGTGTTCTTACGCTGCACAGACACGCACATCTGAGAAAACATCCCCGCTGTAATTACTGTGATTTAACTCTCTGTGATGGAAAGTTTTGGGGGCTGTAAGAGAGGGCACAGCAGGTGCAGGAGATATCCTCAAATAATAGTTTAATTCAGCTAAGAGCAAGCAGCCTCCACACTCAGCTTGTATGGGTACATCAGTACATTATAAAAACCCCAAAATTCAAATATTTCAGTGGCATCTGATGAAGCTCAGGGACAAGGCCCTGTGGAAGAGAGAGGTGTGAGGGGGAAGTTGTGGTCAGGCTCCACCAAGACCAAGCAAGGTTGCTGGTGTGACCCACCGGGTGATGATCCCTGCCCTTGCTGTTGCTCCAAGTTCTCTGGCTGGGGTGAACCCCAGAAAAGGCACTGGCCACAGATGCTGGAGACCTGAAGTAGACAAGCTGCATAAAATTTCATGCCACAGTCTGGCTAGCTTGGGAGAGTAAGGAACACAGTTAAGTGTAAACAGTACATGATGAGATAGCCCCATGCAGACCAAAAACCTCCACTAAAAACCATCCCACCAGCAACAACAAATTCCTCAGCTTAAACTGCAGCTCTCTTCAGAGGGAAAAAAAAAAAAAGAAAGGAAAGAATTGCCAAATCAAACTGCTGACTCCTTTTTTCTTATCAAAACACCACAGCATACATCTTAACAGCCTGAAGTAAATCAAATGCGGGACCAGCTGGAACTGGCCAGCTCTTGACCCTCTGTTGATATCAGGTGTGTTCTGCACTTCTCTGGCAGATTAATTTGTGATCTCAAGTAACTCAGAGCCCCTAAAACTTTCAGTATGGCTGTTAGGACATGGCTGAAGGTTTTCTTTGGAAAGTGTCGCCACTAAAAAACAGTTGGAGTTCTTCTCACTAGACAGACATACTGCATTACAGATGTCAGATGACTTTGTTCCTTTTGTATCTCTTATTTTTAAACTCACACACAAAGCAAGTGTGGGACAAAATTCAGACTTACGGCCAAAGCCTGCAGGTGTGCATGTGGATGACTGGCTTTTGCACATGGAGCTTCCTCTCAGGGGGATTTGGAATTGTTCATAGAAATGCATCCCTGAGGAAACCTTTCAGCTAGGGAAAAAAAGCGGGAGAAGATATGGGAAAAGTTGTGCAGAGCGCATGGAATTGAGAGCGGCTCACAGACGGCGGCTCCGAGAGCGTGCCCGTGTGTGTGATCAATATAATCTATTGCGAAAGAGAGCCTCGGTGTTTCTGTGGGGGAAAGAGATTTAGAAAGAAGGTCTTTAATTATTACCTGCAGAGAAGTTAAAGTGTAACTCGGCAGTAACTGTACTCCAGTGCCAGTTTTGGGGGGTGGGGGCGGTCTCCAGCACCCAATCTGCCTGAAGTGTATGGGGAAAAAAAACTGAATTTAAAGCCATATTTAATTTAACCATGAAGGGAAAAAACAAGACAAACAAAGCATTGACGAGGCAACAGCAGAAAGAAAAGGAGTTCATCCTTCAGGCTGCTGACCTCTCTTTGTGCTTCGTGCGGGGGAGCTACCGAACAGGCTCTGGAGCTTGGAGCACCCACGCGTGAGCTTGTGTTCACCCCCGCACTGGTGCTTGTAGCACACCTCCCATAGAGCCCAAACCCTGCGCCTGTCTGCCACGGCCTTTTCCTCGCACACGCTGCTCAGGGGCTCCGGTCACAGTGCCCCGCCCGCTCCGGCCGCATCCCCCCTTCCCGGGGCCGCCGCTGCCCCCGCAGCCTGAGCGGGGAGGGGAGGCGGCCGGGGGCTGAACCTGCGCTTCTCCTCTCGCCTTTGGAAAATCACCTCCTCCCTGCAAAAAGGGCAAGGAGAGACCTGGTTTTTTTTTTTTTTTTTTTTTTTTTTTTTTTTTTTTTTAAGGGAGTTTTGCTTCTTCAGCAGGTCGGCGTGTTAATTAAAAGTTGATCCAGGTTGGTCACTTGCAGTCCCAGATGCGCTATTAACACATAGGAAAATTACTATTTTTTTAAAGATACCAACATTTAAAAACTCGATAGAAACTCCATTTCCTTCTTAGTATTAACTAGCAGTCTCATAGAGAAAAATTATTAGAGCTATAATTAAATATGGGTCTATTTTTGAAGAATGTCCTGCAAAATAGCCCCAAAATAAGATGTAGTAATTTAATTTTTTTTTTTCCTTTGGCACTACAGGTGCTAGCTATGTTTTCCCTCCATTTCCCACACTATGTATATTAAACAGGGAGGGAACATTGCTCTATTGCAGGTGATGACCCCAGACTTCGCTAGAATATTTTGCTCCTCGCTATAAAATTATGAAGTGGGTCTCTCTTTCAAAATCTCTATATTGGTTTTTATAATTACCTCGTGATCTAAACTTCTTCTCAGTCTATTTCTTAAAGGATAAAAAAAAAAAA